CACACACACACACACACACACACTCTCTCTCACACACACACATACCTCTCTATATCTCGGCTCTTGTCCAGCCGTTCTTTTGCATTCGCCGGTGCGCACTTCTTTTCCACGTGTGCCCGCTGGCATGTTGATGCCTTGATTTTGCAACCGATGGGATTGCTCCTTTTTTTTTTTTTTTTTTTTTTTTAAGTCCAAGGTGTTGTAGAGGCCAGTCACTGACTACACAGCGATCACCTGGAGCAGTAGGCCGTGGGTGTCCTGGAATATGAGACCACCGCCCATCCCATCCTCACGTCAATACTCCTAGATCACCCCCTATCCCACTATCCTACCTCAGTGTGACCAGCGCTCAGGACCATTACCCTACCAATGGGCAGGTAACTTGGACAGAACAGCAGTGATAGGCACCAGGGCTGATAGGTTGCCCAGCCCTGGTGGAAGCGGAAGCGGACGAGCCTTGTTTAATGGGAACTTCGGAAGCCAGGCCCAGACAATCTACTACAGGCCCCAAGAGACTCTGGGCCCTAGGTTTCAGACAGGGTAGCACCCATTGAAGCAGTCTTACCGTCCTTCCCCTAGCTTACCCAAGGCCAGGCGGAACTCGGACTGGCCTGAGCGGCTTATACCCCTACCCTTACCCCAGGGTCGAAGCCTTATATATAGCCACTAGACAGTTCTATCCGAATATCAGTAGGAACTCCGGTGGCCCATACCTGTCCCTACCTCAGATACTGGACCCCACCCAGTGGCTAGTCCTCCCCTGATAGTTTGTGTAGTTCGCAATGTATGTGTATACCCGAAAGCTGTGTATGCTCCGTGTATCTATGTATCAAGATGTACAGACAGCACTATGTGTGGAAACTTGTGTATGTAGCCCGTAGGCCATATATAATTCGCAAGCTATGTATATGCCCGAAGGCTGTGTGTGCTCTGTGAATCAATATATCGAGGTGTATAGGCAGCATCATGTGTGTATATCGAAGAGAGAACGGCGTAAGCTGGACAGGGACCCCCCCAAGGTCCGAACCGAGCTCGAACCCGTGACCTTGTAACATGTAATCGTATGACTCTACCATGTGAATGACTAGTGGAAATGGCACAAACGTGTGATATGCCAGACTGGGGAGATCAACAGAACACCCAAGACCAACAACCCCAAGCAACCCATGTGAAAACCCAGAACCAACATACAACATGATGAACAACCCTTCGGACTGGGTAATCAGGGAAGCCACCCTCCCTCTCCCCATGACTGTCTTCAAAGTCACCGACTGCTCGACCGCGCAGGCTCAGCTGGAGGCCTACGAGACTGAGTTCCCAGGCACAAGACTGTCACACCTAACGCGGAACCCAGACCTCGACACCACACATCAACTGCTAGAACTCATGCGAGTGCGTGTGCTCGGAGATGACTCGGACGGATGGTGGGTTTACGAACCGACAATTCCAATCTGCTTCTTACCATTCGACCCGGCAGAATGGCAATGGGAAGGCCATCACCCGCTCCCGTTCTGGAAATACACAGTTAAAGAATGCTACAGAAGAATTCACAAAACGAACGACACCACTGACATTATCAAGAATAGGTGGTCTCGAGACTCACACATTCATACAACTGATATACAGCGATTCAAATGGGCACAATACACCCACCTCATGCCAACATCTCAGAGAGCCCTCCAATGGCAAATAATCTAGCGCTGCTTGCCAACACCCGCATGACTGGTCTCTAGATCGTGTTTTTTTTTTTTTTTTTTTTTGATTTTTTTTTTTAATTTTTTTTTTTAATTCAAATGAAGATTGAGGCCGGGGTCCTCACAGTCTACCCGGAGTAACCGAACCGAACATGCTGAGAACCGGGCTCAGCGTCCCTCATGCGATGGTCTCTAGATCGTAGTTGGAACAAAAAGGACAACTGTCTCCGTTATGCTCCTACTGCAAAGCGCCAGGCCAACCACAAATTGCGGATCTGGAGCACTGTCTACTCTACTGCCCTCTGACACGCCAGATCTGGCAATGGTGGACGGCAGCTTGGGGCTACGTCACAAACACAGACTTCCCATGGGATGTGGCAATCATTCTGTTGGGACAGATCTCGAAAACCACGACACAGTGGTCTGACTTCCAGCTAAACCTTTTCAAATATACAAGACTGAAGGTCCTCATGGTGGCCTGGCGTGCCAGATGCTCACATGAACACAAGGAACACTCTTTCGGATTCATGCAAGCCAAGTTGCACATTATAGACACAGTGAGGTGCAATATCCACAGGGCTTGGTCTCAGCTGAAAGAAACTCTAGGCACAACAACGAACCGGGCACAAAGCCAAGAGCTAATTACAGTCTTCAACACAACCTGGCTAGACCCGGATAATAAATTGGCCGAACTGGACGACGCCCAACAATTGAGATGGAAACCCTTGTGGCAGACGGAGATGCACTGGCCTCGAAAACCGAATGCGATGTTCCGAAGGCCTGAACCTGGGCTCCCCATCGCACAGATCCCATCATATGACGACCTGACCCTACTACACCCACCGCCGAATTCGCCGCCTCCCCAACTGCCAGTCCTGTCACCCATGGCTCGATCAGCCTCACCACTGACCCAACCAACACCACCCGACACACCATGCACCGCACCCCCCTAGAACCCACCCCTCCCCGACATGCCTCCCCCAGCTACACCGCCACCCCCTCCACCACTCCCCCACACCCCCCCCAGAACACCCTTGCCCCTCCCCCTCCCCCTGCAGATACCCCACTCTACTACAGATTGAAGACCCTCCACGAATTCGGAAGACCGGGTCAGGGAACAACACAGAAAGGAAGATGCAGCATCTCCACAGAAGGACCTCAGATCTGAGAGCCGTGGGGAGGCCCTACAAGATACACATCGGAGTCAACAACGAGGGCCCGGATCTGAGAGCCTGGGCGAAGGCCCTGCAGAATACATATCAGAGTCAAAAAGGAAGGCTAGGAAGAACGCAGACAGCAAACACAACGGAAGTAGCTCCAACAACCCCCCAAGGGGAGGACTCGCAGAACAACTGGCCCCACAGGATGGAGTAAACATGAAGCACCACGAATCCCTCCGGATTCCGTGCCTGCTCCCCATGACATCAAGCATCAACAAAACGAATAAGAGGAGTAAGTAAAATGGTAGAAGGGCCCGCTGTTTAAAAGTGATAGGGCATCTATTCCTCCTATTACTTTTTCTTATTTTCTTCTCTCGTCTCTATCTGTATTTCCCGTTCTTTCTGCTTTCCCCCTTGTTCGTTTTCTCCTGTTTCCTTAGTCCACACCCCTCTCCCCTCCCGCTGAATAGTTGTCTTACGATTTCTGTTATTTGGCTTTTCGAAGTTTCAGCGTACGTATCTAATGGCGGTTGGAGGGCAAGGAGGTGGCTTCAATCGAAACTGTTATAACTGCAGGATGTACGGTCATTTCGCAAGATGGTGCCCGTACCCTCCTCGCAGTGAGGGCTACGGTACTGGGCAGACTAGACAGGATGGCGGGTACGCCCACGGCCGCCCGATCTTTAACGGGCTTCATGGCCCCCATGCTCCATCATCCCCCCCTCTCTCCTCGGCCCCTCCTCTCTCATCTGCTCCGCTAGCACTTCCCCCTCCTCCCTCTCAGCCAATGAATGTGCAAGGTCTGCAACCTCCGCTCTTGCAGGCTCCAGCTACGGCTTCCTCCAATGCAATCGCTCTGGTAGCCTCAACTGCGATCGTCCCATACCAGCCACCTCGCGCGGCTTTCGGCGGAACGAATCGTCGGGGATGGAACAGACTAAGGGACGTAAGATCGGAAGGCGAGACTATGATGATCTTACGGGAGATATGGAACGATCGGCGCGAAGAGAGGGAACGACGACAGGAAGAAGAGGATCGGCGAAACAGAGAGGAGCAAGCAAGGTTGGCACGCGAAGAAGACGAGCGACGTGCCGAAGCTGAAGAAAAGAAGGAAACACAGCGAGAGGCGAGAATGACACGGCTCGTTAGGAAGCAAATGGAGGAGATGGAGGCGAAGAAGAAAGATGCCTCCAGTGAATCTAGCAAGAAGGATTGGGAAAAATGAGAGAAAATAGAGAAACCTCCCAAGGATGGGGAGGGTGGAAAGAATGGCGAGAATGTAGACAATCGAAAGAGGGATCAGGTCGCCATGGCAGGCGATCACTCTGCTCCTCCGCAACAAGCGGCAGGGAGACAACGGGTGGGAAGCGAGGCAACCCCGTTGGATACTGGCCTGCTCCGGATGGACCTCGATAACGTGAGAAAGGCGCAGGATGCCCATTCCCTGCTTTTCCAGGAGATGCTTAACTGCCTGAAGACCATCAAGGAACAGGGCGTAGCGCTCCTTACCCCACCTGCTGTCGCATCAACTGTCCCGCAGTTTTCCCCACACCATGCCTACCCCGCCCCCCACCCTCATGCCGCTCCTCCTCCTCCGTTCCTCCTCCTCCCCCTCCCCCTTCTCACGTTCCTCCTCCTCCTCCCCCCGCAGATCCTGTCCAACCACCCATCCCTGGGGAGCAACCTTCTGCCCCACCAAGTATCCAACCCACTCCACCCCCTCCTATGCCTGCTCCCTCTGCGCCGAATTCTCCCCCTGCCCCTCCCCCTCCTCCACCTCCCTAGGCCCCTATGTCTCGAAGAACGTGCTCGGCGACTGAGCCCGGGCCTTCGAGGACCAGGAGTGAACAACCTGGGACTCTTGTTGGCCATGGCTTCTCTGCGCGGCTTGCTGGGATGTTCGCATCGGTGGCTGGGAACGAACCAAGAAGAAGATCCTCGGGAATCACCATCAACGAGGGGGCTTCACAAGACATGGGGTTCGATCGTATCAATCGAGGAAAGAAGGCAGTTGTCGCTGGTCCTGGCAAAAAGGGACGCAAGAAGTATATCAAGGACCTCATTGAGGAACTCATGGTGAAGACCAAGCACGAGTTAGAAGAGCTCTGTAAGAAGGATCGTATCAAGTATGTGAACAAGAAGATCACTACTGCTGCTCTGGCTAAGCTACTTGCTATTGACGCTTATGGTGAGGATGATGATGATGAAATCTCCGAGGAAGAATCTCAAGAGCACAACCCCTCTTGATAATCTGGTGACCTACCTTCCTCTTGGACCTCCCTTGAATGTATAAGAGAATGAAGGAGGAATGAAGGGTGGCAAGGGAAGAGTGCAATTAGCTTGGAAACTTTCATGGTATTTCTCGTCCTAACGCTGACATGTTATGGACAACTACGGTGGGCAGAGAAATTCGTTGACTATTGGAATTACTCTCTGGAAAATGGTGTGGACTTGTGCAGATGGAACGACCCCTGTGTGTATGTGCTACTATCCCCATGGCATAAGGCGACTTACATTGGCTCTACCATTCGTCCGCTGAAGGTTAGATGGGACGAGCGTATTAGGAAATCCTTGCAGACTGATGACGGTAGGAACCACAGACTTAGGAGATGGTTCCGGAGGAAGGGATGGTTTAGCTACGTTGCTATCCCAATTGCCTTTCCGCATGTGGACGAGATACGTGAGGTAGAGTCTGCTATGATTTTAAGATGGTCGCCGGTTCTTAATTGTGTTAGAAAAAAAAAAGACTCTCAGCCGACGTAAAGAGCGTAGAGAATGAAGGGTTTTTTTACGGAGGTGCAACCGTCGCAACACGAAGACGAGATCAAAAGAGAAGTTTGTTTGCTGGGACACATCGGATATCTCCCTTCCCATCCCTGAACCATGGATTCCCCCCTCCTCCCCTTCCTTTTCTGTTGTCAGTATTCTGAATAAACTTGTGGATAATGATGTTGTGCATGTCAATCTGCTGAGTACTGGAGGAGCTTCCTTTTTAGACTCTTGGGGAAGAATTCAGAGGTTATTTGGCTGGACTATTGTGGAATTTATGAATCAGAAATGTCTTTTGAAGAGTATAAAACACAATTTTTTACAAGGAGGAGTCTTCCATATTATTAACTTAAGGCGAAGAAAGTGCATGACTGGTTTGCGTCGCAATGTGTTAGCCTCCCTCCGCCAGGTCCCTAGCACTAGGCGTCGTAGGCGAGGTCTCTATACATCTAGCCTACACCACCTGGTAAAACTCTACAACTCTATTGAGATTTTCCATAGGGATAAGTCCCACACTATTCTGAAGGGAGTAGTAGGAAGGGCACTTACGTCCGTGTGTGGCTTCCGTTGTTTGGCTCCTACAGTTGTGAGAGTTACCTTTGATGCTCAACTTCGGAAAACATTGGTTAATGATTTGGCGAAAACAGTAATAAGGAGACGTTGCCCTGACAGTTGGCCTGCTGATTTCCTGATTTCAAGACTCAAAATAGTATGGACCAGGAATAGGTCCGTAGCTCATATATTGCACAACCATAGATCTAAGGCCAGGGTCTCTTCTGATAGTTGTTTGTGTGCTAATAATGATCGTAACTTTCCCAGGAACAATGAAGGGCATGTGGCCCTCAAATTTTCTGAGCTGCCCGATCTCCCGGCATGTTTGAGCAACTCGAGGAACGTTCTTTGCCCTTCTAGACCCTAGTTTGTTGGAAGGATCAAACGGGCATTGTCTGAGGGTCTGTCCCATATTCCTATTAAAGATGGATGGGTTGGCATTTCAAACATGATTCTCTCCTGCTTCGTTAACTATGTACGGCACAGGGCAGTATCTGAAGATGTAGTTATTCGATGGAAGGATAAGTTAGGAGACCTGGTCGTCTCACCTATTGACCACAATATTGGTGATTCCTATGTATGTTGTCCGGCTATTTATCATGCAGCTCTTAGTAGGCTATATTGGGAGAGTGAGGGTTTTGAAGTGGATGACAGAAAGGAACATGAAGTTTTGGAAGTATGCAGGAAAGGGTACCTTGGGATAGGCGCAGAAACTGGCACCTTGGAATAAACGAGGGTGTCAGGGATCCGTATATAGGATTCCCAAGCACAAGGATGTCACTAGGTGGAGACCTATAGCTCCTTCCTACTCCGAACCTAGCATCCGAGCATGCAGGTTGGTGTCCAAAGTAATCAATGGCCTCCTATGGCGAATTCCGGAGTCCGCTCATTTTAATTTGAAAAGCACGAACCTTCTGATGAAACGTATAGTTCACTTGAACCGCAAAGTAAGTACAATGACGAACGGTTTGATCCTATCCGCAAGTTTTGACATCAAGGAGATGTTTACGAAACTCCCGCACGATGCCATTATGGGTGCAGTTGAATGGATGTACGATTTCTTTACGCAAAAAGGGCACAACTCAATCAGGGTAATAAGGTCGGGAAAGGAACTGCACTGGGTAAAGCTTTCGGGGAACAAGGATGGCATCGGGTGAAATTCGCAGAAGTGATTCAATTTATTAAGTATGACCTTGGTAACACTTCTTTAAAGCTTCTAATCTTATCATTAGGCAAAAAATTGGCATCCCTATGGGAAAGACGTCTAGCCCCGCTCTTGCCTGTCTCCTTTGCGCCCATTATGAGTTTACCTTCCTCAACTCTTTAGGTAATGGCCGCTGAATGATCTAGGGTCCCAGACTGGTTGATGATGTAGCTCTCTTCATTATCTTGCCGAACAAATCTTGAGAATCCTTCGAGAAAACTAGCAGTATTTACAAGTGGTTCACTTCCATTTATGATAACAACTTGCACTTGGTGCGAACCGACGAAAGAGATGGGATATGGGAATTTTTGGGATGCAGAGTGGAGTGCCAGACTTCGCCACCTGCTGTCAGATGTGAGGCTACCATCAAGAATCAAAAGGTAATATGGAATGAGAAAGGTATAGTTTTTTTGTCAATTCAGGACTAGTGGTCTTATGGACCCAAGAGCAATAAGGTAGGACTGATTAAAGGTATTATGAACAGGGTACTAACCCACTCCTCAGATTCCCGAGGAGTAGGTATGTTTCTGCTTTCTCTAAGGAGGGAGCTTAGGAAAAAGGGGTTCCCTGGGTGAGTATTTTTTAAGACGGCCAAGGAGTTCTCTGCAAGAAACAGGGACTGCTGAAAGGGTTGGGTCAGAATAGTATCAGAGGGTCTGATAAGGGGTCGGAATGACACTCGGGGAAAAAATCATGTGAAATCTACCTACGGACAAGACTTCCGAATATCGGAACTAAGGGCCGGAAGCTAGCCAACGAAACGATATCACGGCGTATCACACTGGCACCACGGATGCTCAGCGCCTCAACTACCGAAGAGAGACTCTACATCAGTTGCCTTCGACTGGATCCGATCGCCAGCACGAAGGTTAGTCCACATTCCTGCGTTACTTGGGATTTCTGGGCGTCCTGTATCCTCTGTCTTCCACCCCGTTCGAGACTCCCGCTTCCTCCATGGCGTCTCTTCTGAGCTTTCGACACTCTTGCTCTCTATTCATCGTATCTGCTTGCCCTCTGTTCTGCTACCTCGTACTCCTGTTCTCTCTTCTCTCGCCCGATGGATGACCACCGCTACCATTCTCTGCACCTTCTTCTTACTGCACTTTTATGACGACTACTGCGACTGACGTCTCTGTTCCTCTCTCTCTCTCTCTC